AAACAGTTAACTGAGGTATTGTTAGTTGAAAGTGTCGTCCAACTGTTATATTTGTTTTAATATTTATCAACATCTCTATTTGTTTTTCTTATTCTTCTATTTTATTGTTTATCTAATGCTTATACTTTCCTTGCCTCACTTTGACAACATGCCACCTGTGCTAAAGGTCCAGTCAGGATATTTCCTAAATATTCTGCCATCCACTATTAGTGGTATTATTAAAACATATTAATATTGTCATCTTCTTATGGTCATTGTAGAAGATGGAGGGCAAAAACAATAATATTAACATGGTAGCTTGTTAGGTTACCTGAGTATCTGAAGTCAGATGCTACAGAAAGAAGGGGTTTTCCATGGCTGAGTAGCTGCTTCCAAGCCATATATCATCAAATGCAGTGGGAAGCATCCGATGGAGTTGTATAATGCACATTGCTAATGGAAATTAGAACAATCAAGGCACATTCACTCGAGTGAAAGATAACACTTCTTTATCTGGCACACCGACGGGTTAGTTGAAAAATTATCTGACTATATTGAGCCCTGTGTGAAGTATTTTTGAGAACGGGGCCTTTTTCTGGATTGGCTTTTCAGGAGCAGTGCTTGGACCTTCATTTCCAGGAAAAGAAACTCTAAATGCACCAGCATAACAACAGATCTTGGGCAACTACATGCTCCCACCTTTGTGGAAAGAGTTTAGACAAAACAAATACATAAAAAGTCCAATGAACACATCCCATAAAAAATCCCATAAGCCTTGTGGAAAAAACTGCCCAGTAGAGATGAAACTGTTATAGCTGCAAGGCTGAAAGAACATAATATTGAACCATATGGATTTTGGGTGTGATCCATATGCAAGACAAGGCAGGTGTGACACTACTATTGACACCATAGTGTTTATGTAGGAAGGCTTCTTAATCCCATTGTAACACTTTTTGTCACATAAAGATAAACAAACAGTTTACAAAGAATCCTGCAACTTCTAAAGCATATTTCTGAATCAATTTATAGCAGCCCTGAATAATCACTGTCTGGCTTTTTATTAAATATTGTTGTTATATTGCAGTTCTCAATGAATGTCTTTCTGGTCTTATGAAACATTTTGAAAATGTTTCAGATTTATTTCAGCATTCTCCTGACTGATACCTTGGTGAAATATAATAATTTGATTGTTTATTTGTCTGCAAACTTGTGTTATACTAAAAGATTGCATCCTATTGCCCAAAAGCTAAGCTTGATTTCAGGTTTCTCTGACTCAATACTATTGTGTTAAACCCTGGTCCTCAGGGTCTACTGTCCACTATGTTTTAGGTGTTTCACTGCCTCCAAACATTTGACTTAAATAAATGGTTGATTAACCAGCTTCTGCAACCTGTAATGGCCCTTGAGTAAAGAATTTATTTCAGGTGTGGTGGACCAGAGACCCATCTAAGACATGCGGGATAGTGGGTTCACAGGACCAGGGCTAAAAACCTTCACTGTATCTTGTGAACTCAAGATGGCCTTACAGAATCAATGAACATGAAAATATTATTTTAATCATTGCTATCTCCCCCTTTTTTACAGAACAAAGGCTAGCATTTCATCAGGGGTTGCACAGTTATTAAGTTTATTCCTGGTTTAACTTGAAAACTATAACTAATCATATATGCTGCCTGAAAAAAACTGTTTAAGAAAGTATGGTAAAATTCTGTGGGTCTGAAAGGGGCTTGACAGGTTGAAAGAGTTAGGTTAGACGGCACAGCTTTTTAAGCCAGAGTGTAAACATGCATGAGAAATGTAGTGATGGTGAGGAAAAAGTGGTTGTCTTTGCACTTCTGTGAAGAATTAAATGCAAAGCAGAAAAAGATAACAACTCTGTCAGAGATGTTGCACCTGTCAGAGATGTAGTTTGTCCTGCATGCCCCTACACACACGTCACAATGCATTTCATTCTTGACAAATGCAGTAATGCCTCCCAGGGGCTGTTAGGACTAACTCTTTTCAGTCCTCTGTACATCAGTAGTGCCACAAACAAACACAAATATGGACATGAATACCAAACACCAGACGGCCACCGTCTATAAAAAAGGATTGGATTTCATCTTCGGGACCTCATTAATTCCTTATAGGTGCTCATATTGATTCCAAGGTGCCTCTGGTCCTGTTAATGCAGCTCAGCCTTGATGGGTTTGGATGCAGTCTGTGTCCCCAAACATGGCCATAACTTGTATGAAAGGGTTACATCTGAGTAACATAAACACAGTAAATGATATAATAAGAAAAATGTGAATATATAAAGGGAATCTGAGAAATAGCTGTAAAAAATATAACAATATATAAAAGCATAATATTAGAAATTGAATTTCATTATTTAAAAAAATTGTGTAATTAAATTGAGTCCCATCAATATGCCAGCAATTCAAAATAAATGTAAGCTCGAGGCATTATACGAGACAGATTGTGATATCAAGAACATATATAATATAATCAATGCAGAACAGTCCAGTTGCTGAAAAATTTAAAACACGAGGTTTTCAAACATGAGTGTCGGAGGCTAAAATCCTACATTTTTACTGGGAGTGTTTGTTGGAGCAGGTTATTCTTCATAAATGTATCTGTAAGGATACAAAACTTCTATTTTCTGAGGTTAGAAGCAGAAAATTAAGTCCTCCAGGCTTTTAAGTCTCCAAGTCATGCATGGGGTCTTATGAACTAATTGTAGTCATCTGGCCCATAAATACCCTGAGCATCATTCTTATAATTACAGCAATGTATCCCAAACTATTTAATAATATTAACAAGTAGACCTATATAGTTCAAACAAGATATGTACAAACACTTTGATGACATTATTTGACATATTTGGAATCCTCTGATACAACAAGTTAGCATCGTGCCTTACATACTATCAGGATATGTCTGAAGGTACAACATCTATCTGCTAAAAACCAATGGCATGTATCCCATAGGTATCCCTGTTTTGGTGTAAAATGCATATCCACAAACAAATTAATCAAAATGTGTTGAATATGCTGGCTAAATTTGGTCAGAGTCTAACATCACTGTGAAATAAGTCCTGTGCTGGCATTTTCTGAAAGGCCACACACAGAGAAAAAATCCATTATACAAAAACAAACATAAAAAGTCACATTATAGTTTGCAAATGCTCTCTGGGCGAAGAGTTATGTTAGATGTGATAGGTTAGATATATCCTGTGGTCTGAATTATTCAGAGAAAAAAAATCTCCTTTTAAGGGGAGAAACAGGAAAGCATGAAACCCAGAGAACACTATACAAACTGTAAAGGGTTGTCGCTGTGTTGTGCGAGGGCCTGTATGAGGGAATGGTGTGCTGAACAAATTGGATGATGTGACAAGAAAATAATTCTACATCTCAAGAAAGGTTGTTGAGCTAAAATTGGTCTTAAAGATACAGAAGAGGATTTTAGTGAATTTTTAAAAAGACCCATCTTCTCCACTCCCATTTCTCCGCCCATTTCTCCTTGTGCACGCTCTGTTTAAAAGTTGCTGTTTGCATCGCTTATACAAACTTAATTTCAAAAAGAAGATCTGCAATTTGTACACTATGTTAGACTCACCAACGGTAATTGAAAATGGGGACAATAATATTTTAACTTTATTGATCTGACATTGGAGTTACTTACCTCTGCGTTTAACCCATCCCCTTGGGGGGCATTGGGGTTAAGGTTCTAGCTCCTAGAGCCAGATTGGCAGTCTGTGGGAGTGGGGCTCGAACTCAGAACCTCAGGATTCCAAGCTCTTTGACCTAACCACTAGGCCACCACTCCCGTACATAGGAAGGCCTAACGTAAACATATCCTGAAAGTGATTGACAATTAGGGGGGACACTTATTTTGATGGTCCACCCAGAAAAAGAAAATCCTCCATTATACCTTTAAACTACAATGATACAAATTAAACTGTCACTTAGAACTTACAGGTAAAGCGCCTCCCAGTGGTTATGTTAGTGTTGTTTTAAGGTTGACATTAGTCACTGACCTATGAGAGCTGTGTCTGTGCTTTACTGGACACAAAAACCTGACTAAAACCTTATCGGAAACTTTACTGTGTAAATAATCACAGTTGATTAACAGAAATTCTGTCAATAACGTCTGACAGAGAAAAAAGGGAAATACGGGTATGTTTTGGGACATTCTTTCAAAGTGTATGCTTATAATGTAAAGGGTTGATTACAGAAACTTTCTATCTAATAAATGATTGTTACCCTTTGAGGCTGATTTTTGAATCAACACATCACATAGGTTATGTTTTAACTCAGCTCTTTTCTCTTTCACTTATGCTAATAAGCACATAAATCCCTCTCAATGAATCACAACTAGAAGGTTTTTTTTTTTTTTTTTTATTGTGTGTGTACGAGAGTGTGACTCGGCATATGTGAAACGCAAGTGTGCACACTCATATAAAGGCCAAATGCAAATATGCAAATGTTCATTAGAGGCAAATAAACCCAAAGATTACTCTTCAGTAATTAATTAGGCTGTTACAGGGAGATAGGCATAGGCAGTGTCATCATGTGAAAAAAATATGTATTTTTTTTTGCTAACAGCTTTGCAACCCGAGCCAGGGTATAAAGTGGTTTAGTTTTCTCCAGACATCTTTTGACCATTACCTTGTACACCAAAATGCCATTATCAGCAGTTCAGATGATGTTAAGAAGGAACATCTTGTTCTTTCTCCTGTAACTTTGCTACCAGGGTGAGAATGGACTGAGAGGAGTTATTTGTCATCATCAGCCTGAGTGGCATGCTGCCTCTCTCCAGGTCAAGCTTCCCTGTCTCAAACATTTTCATCTTTTTTCTCTATGTTCATATCTCCAAAACTTGTTCAGCTAAACCATTCTTTTGTTTTCATCTCTGTTTCATTTTATTTTTCTTAGGCAAACTCAGCAGGGATGTTCAATGACTGTTATTACAGTCATTAAAATGAAGTAGAGATAAACATTTAAGTTTGATCCAGAATCTCCTTGTTTTATTCTTTACAGGTTTGGAGAAGGTGGGCAGGGACTCCAGCTATGAACAAGAAGGGAAGGTTCAGTTTGTAATGGACGCTGTTTATGCAATGGCACATGCTCTGCATCGCATGCACCGGGAGCTCTGCTACGGCTATCCAGGCCTCTGTCCGCGCATGGCTAATAGCATTGATGGGAAAGAACTGCTCAGCCACATCCGTGCAGTCAAATTCAATGGTAAGTTTGGCTCTTGTTTCTCGATTCCACTTCTTAGCTACAATTCTCCACAGGCTCCTTGTCTGCATACATACTGTCAAACACAATGATATATTCATCCTGCATTGGAAGGCATCATATAAAAAAAATTCAGAAGATAATCTTGATTACGACTAAGCATTTGCAAGTCTATATAATCTTTCAAAACTAGCAAAACAAATGTGAAATGCTTTAAAATGGAAAAAAAATAGTGGGCGTATGAAGGATGGATTAGTTAATTTTTCCAATATCTAGATATTCATGCCGAATAGGTTTAACAATCCACTGCACTTTGTTTCCAAGTTCGACAAGTTCGCTTCCCATCCAGGAAGTTTTCTCACCTCAAAATGTCAGGAATAGCGTTAAATTCTAGTTTTTATACAGTAGACCATCAAAGCCTAGTTTTTGTTTAGAAAACATGCAATTTGAAAAGGACGAACGGTCCACCCCTTTGAAATGGGGGTCAAATGGGGGAATTGTGGCTTCTTTTGTTAGCCTGCAATGCCCCATTACATTCTAAGTCTCTGAAAGGTCGTTAAAGGAGAATTGTTGGCCTAGTTGAATAGGCGAAGTCTTCTGCTCCCCAGTAAAGGATTTGGGGTTGTGATGATAGCAGGAAGGGATAAACTCAATTGCTGCATTGTAGGTTTTTGAAAGCTGAAATCTGAGTCCACTCCCTCTGTTTAGGGTTGATTTTTCTTTCTTAGCATAGATGGCTTCCTTCACACCCCTCTCAAACCACCTATTTTCTCTGTGTCTGTGGAGAGGTTGTTTGGTTTCTCCAATACCGGAGAAACCAAACAACCTCTCGACAGACGTATGGCCCAACACAGATGAGCGACCTCTTCTGTACAAGACTCTGCAATACATCTACACCTTGTGGACAACTGACATTCTTTTGAGGACCAGAATGTTCACATTTTGGACAAAGAAAATGGGTGGTATGAGAGTGGCATGAAGGACGCCATTTATATGCGGTTAAGGGTCTTGCTCAGGGACCCAGAGTGGCAGTATGCGGTAGTGGGGCTTGAACTCATTAGTTCTGGATTCCAAGCGCAATGCCCTAACCACTAGGCTGTAACTCCCTTGGTCATGGTCATAAAAAGATGTACAGCTATAAAAGTCACTCTGAAACACTTTTGGGCTTTTGATTATATCAGAAATATACTCTAAAAAAAATTATCTTCCCTTGATGATTTTATAGAAATGGATAAATCCTTTCCAATGTAAGAGATCTGTACCTCTCATGTCTCTTAACGCTTTGTGTATTTTGACCAGAAATATTTAGCGTTTACCTTCTTATTGTACTTTAACACCACAATCCTATCTTTGTTGCCTAATCTACGCATACAAAAGTCAAAATGGTTTACTGTTGAAATTTACTTGACTTGTTTTTCTTGACCTCATTCCTGCTATTTCAGCTTATAATGTATGATTCTCTCTTTTGCTCTGTTTCTCTCTGGACTATTGACTGATTTTAAGTAGATGAAAAACATTTGCTCATTTCCAAGTAGTATTAGACTCCTCCTTTGAATATGCTATTATTAATCTCTTTTTCCCTTGATGCACCTGTACCTCCTTTTCATTTCCCATGTTCCTCTACTCGGCACTGCTTGGAATACATAAAATATGTTAAGATGAAGAGCAAGGAAGCTTGCAGAAAAGGTTGTTGTATCATGTGGATTACAGGAAGGCTCTTCTGATTTAGAGGCAAGATTAAGACTGCAGGAATATATCTGTGTGGGACTGTACGTGTGCCTGTTTGTTCGTATCGGAGTTATCTGCCTGTCAGAAACTGATTCACCAGCAGAAACTGGACGCTCTTTCACACTCCAGCAGCAGCTTTATGTTTAGGTGTGTTTCTCTTTTATTGCTGCCCCAGAGGCAAGAGAAATCATCCCATAAACACAAGGTCAGAAACTTAATACCCAGGTGAATCTCTGAACTCCTCTCAATCACTAAAAGCTTTAAGCCCACAATTTTTTTTTTAGAGTGATCCAAGGAGGTACCTGGTAGATTAGACTGTACTCAAATCATTTGGGAATAGAAGTGTGATTGTGCCTTCTGATTAAAGGCCCTGACTAAGATGACCAACTAGAGGAAGTTTTTGGGTAAGTGGAATAAAAATACAATCACTGGAAACAGTAAGTGCACCCTTGCTGATTCCTTAGGAGTTTAGACTGACATTGCTTCCTATAAGTAAGTTGCAACCATTTATTGTTGATTAAATACAGTTGATTAACTTATTTTATTGCTTGTATAAGGGCATTTGGCATTACACAGGTCTGCAGTCTTCAGGCGTGCAATATGTTAACAGTTAAGAAAGTCGGGCTGACTGTTAAAGTCTTTAACAGTCAGTTAAAGATTGCTGTGTCACCGGTCGCTCCAAACAACCCCAAACAAACAAGATGCTATTATTTTTTATTTGTTAAATGCCAGAGGACTTTATGGGTGAGTAATTGATTTTAACCATGCTAGTAGGAACCAAAAGTGACTTCTGAATCTCTGAAATCTGTTGAAAACTCTCCAGTTTTGGATTCTGATTACGAGGACTCTCTTACTGAGCTGGTAAGAGTTTTTGCTTAGATTTTCACGCCCTCTAGGTTGGGCTTCATCATCCTCATTGTTTGATAAGCCCGGCAATATGAGAAGAGGGAGTAGGCAGAAAGTAAGCGACTGTGTCGGACTAAGCGGAGGGAGAGGGAATGGGATCCAAGGAGTGAGGTGTTCAGCCCTGAACTAACTGCACAGTGATCATAGTGTTAGTCTACCCAATGATGCATTGAATTACCAAAACATTAGTTTATTGTCTATTTACCACTTGGAGCGTGTCTGCTTTGTATCAAAAATGGCTGTGTTTAAAATCTGTCCCCTAATTTGCTAGATGCACTACTGCAAATCATTTGTTCCTCTTCATCTAGAGAGCATTCACACCTGTATGACAATGCACATTGTTTCCCGAGGTATGACCATTGTTTTTCCATTCTCTGTGGCAGTATCCTCCTCTCCATCTGCCTTTCTTGTACTTTAGAAATATTCCTTTCAGAAACTTCTGCTTCTTTGCTAAATGCTAGATATAATTTGTGTAGATAAAAACTGATTAAACAATAATAATCAGGGAGAAAAACTGAGTAGGGATAAAAAAAACAAAAAACAAACGTAGTATGAAAAACAAAAATTGGTACGGCTAAGTATTAGTGTTTAACAGCTTGGCCTTATGGGAGCTGCTACTAGACTGCTGATAAATTTTTGTCATTCTACGTCACTCATCCGAGCGGTCCCGGTAAATGCTAGAAAGATTTTTTCAGTGGTCCAAACTTAAGATCAGCACATATTTGCTTTCAACTGATGGTAGCTGCAAACCACTCTCAATTGCTATTGAAGCAATGAAGGAATGAAAAAAAACTTTAACTATGATCGGAAATAAACAACTGATTAATCTGAGAAGGTTATCTGACCATTTCCAAACAATTTAACTCCAATATTCTTTAGAAAAAGACCATTTACAATTCCATAACATTCATTACTCTCAGTAAGTCTTATTAGAAGTCTACATCCCTGATCAATTATAATGTTCTAAACAGTTCAGAATGTGTAGGGATTAAATAAATGACACACTTCGAAGCCAAGTGTCACCATCTTAATGTTACTGATCATAAAAGAGCAGTTAAAAAAAGACAAATTTTTGGTTTGAAAGAAGGGCTCTCCTAGAAAATTGTTCTTTCTTAAAATACTGAGCATCTAATCAGAATCAGAAATAATTTAATAATCCCAGGGGGAAATTACTTTTGTTACACGCTCCAGTCACAGTTTATATATATATATATATATATATATATATATATATATATATATATATA